CCAGATTTCTGCAGTAGAAGATGATGATGAAGGTCTTCCTGAACATTCAATGATTTTTGGCAAGAAATGTGCTGTTGATCTGGGCATGAGTGAGGATTATCTAGTGGTGGTAAATGAGGGTTCTGATGGGGGACGTCTATCATGTTCATCTCCATGTTCTTGGAGGTCATCGGATGCATTGTCTTCCTGGTTAAACATGTTTTGGGAATAATTTTCCCTTCTCTAGACAATTATCAAGTTTGTGAGTTCCATTATATATTGAGTGGCATGCTTACTTTTGCCTGTGTATGGAGGGATTCAGAAAATAATTTTTAAAACCCATACATAATCAAGGATATTGTTGGGCAACCTCTTTCAGGTCCCCTCCTGCTGTGAGAGCTTTTCTGTCTTCTTAATAAATCCTACCAAAATAAGTAAATAAATAAAGGATACTGTTGCATGGTTTAAATAAAGAAAGAAATTGATAAGATGATTCTAAAATTCACATGGAAATTCAAGAGACCAGAATAGCCAAAGTAATCTTGAAGAAGAACAAAGTTAGAGAACTCAAGCTTCTAAATTTCAAAACTTACTACAAAGCGACAGTGATTGAGACTGTGTAGTACTATCATAGGAATACACATAAATCAATGGAAAAGTATTGAAGGTTTAGAAATAAATCATCACATTTACAGTGGAGTGATCTTTGACAAAAGTGCCGAGACCATTCAGTGGAGGAAGGATAGTCTTTTCATTAGTTCTATGATAACTGGATATCCAAATAAATGCAAAGAATGAACTTGAACCCCTTCCTCACACCATACATAAAAATTAAAAAGAATCAAAGACCTAAATCTAAGCTAAAACAATAAAACTTAAACAGAAATATAGGAGTAAATCTTCATTACCTTGAGTTAGACAAAGCCTTCTTAGATCTGACACCAAAAGCACAAGGAGTGGAAGAAAAATAGACAAACAACTTTATCAGAACTTAAAATTTTTGTGCTTCAAAAAGCACTATCGCTCAGCCTGTAATCCCGCGCCTTTGGGAGGCTGAAGTGAGTGGATGGCCTGAACCCGCGGGTTCGAGACCCGCCTGGGCAGCGAGACCTCATCTCTACAAATAAATCAAAAAATCAGCGGGGGCGTGGTGGCGTGTTCCTGTAATTCCGGCTACTCGGAAGGCTGAGGCGGAAGGATCGCCGGAGCCCAGCAGGCGAGGCTGCGGTGGCCAGAAGTGGCCACTGCCCTCTGGTCTGGGCGACAGAGCGAGACTCCAACTAAAAAAAAAAAAAAAAAAAAAAAAAAAAAAAGCACTATCAAAAAAGTGAAAAGACAGTACACAGAATGGGAGAAAATACTTGCAAATCATATATCTGATAAGAGACTTGCATGTAGAATATATAAAGAACTTTTACAACTCAATAATAAAAAGACAACTTAGTTTAAAAATGGACAAAGTCTCCAATTTCTCCAAATAAGATATACAAATGACCAATAACTATATGAAATTCTCTTCAACATCACTAGCCATCAGAGAAATATAATCAAAATCATAATGACATGCCACTTCATGTTCACTAGGATGGCTGTGATCAAAATGACAGATAAGTGTTGACAAAGATGTGGAACAGCTGGACCTCTCGTACACTGGTGAGGATGCACAGTGGTACAGCTTCCTTGGTAAACAATCTGGCTGTTCTCAAAAAGTTACGTGTAAAATTACCCTGTAACCCAGCAGTTTCATTCCTAGGTATACATCCAAGAGAAATAAAAACATGTCACACAAAAACTTGCACACAAATGTTCATAGCCTTATGATTCATAATAGCCAAAATGTGGAAACAGCATAAATATCTATCAATTGAATAGATAAATAAAATACATAGTACAATGGGATATTAGTCAGCAGTAAAAAAGGAATTAGCACTGATATCCACTATGACATAGATGAACCTTAAAAACATGTTAGGTGAAGCCAGTCACAAGAAGTCACATATTATATGATTTCATTCCTAGTAAGTGGCCAGAATAGGCAAATTATAGCTATAGAGACAAAAAGGAGATTAGTGGTTCTCAAAGGAGGGGCTGAGAGGAAGAGAAAGTGACTCCTAATGGTCTGGGGTTTCTCTTTGTAGGTGATGAAAATGTTCTCAAATTGATTGTAGTGATGGTTGCACAAGTCTAAGAACTAAAAACCATTGAACTGTGAACTTTAAATGAATGAATGTTAAGGTGTGTGAATTCCATCTCTGAATACTATTATGCATTTCTAAAATCCGTAATCCTTTCTGGTGTTGCATATCTAGTAAGTGCTCAGATCTTCTAATTGTCTCCTAAGTGGTTTTGCGTTGTGTTTGAGCAGTACCCAAGCAAGGTCCACTCCTTGCATTTGGTTAATATGCCTCTTAAGCCTCTTTTAAATGTATAGGTCTCTCATGTTTTTGTTGTTGGTTGTTTTTCTCCTTTGAGTAGTTTTTTTGAAAATGGATCGGTTATGTTTCCTGTGTTTGGAGCTTTGCTGATCACATCCCTGGGTCGTGTTTAACATGTTCCTCTATCCCCTGGTTCTCCTAGACACTGGAAACCTTGGTTTAATTCAGATTTAATTTTTTTCTAGTGAGTTTCAAATGAACCAATTAAGAAATAGGAAACAGCCAGGCTCGGTGGCTCAGCCTGTAATCCCACGCCTTTGGGAGGCTGAGGTGAGTGGATTGCCTGAGCCCGCGGGTTCGAGACCCGCCTGGGCAGCGAGACCTCATCTCTATAATAAATCAAAAAATCAGCCGGGCATGGTAGCGCATGCCTGTAATTCCGGCTACTCGGAAGGCTGAGGCGGAAGGATCGCCAGAGCCCAGCAGGTCGAGGCTGCGGTGACCAGGAGCGGTCACTGCACTCCAGTCTTGGCGACAGAGTGAGACTCCAACTCAAAAAATAAAAAATAAAATAAAATACAGAAAGAAAGAAATAGGAAAGAGTATTCATTTCTTTAAAATTTGCCTCAAGTCTGAGGATGCTGATGAGAATATGTCTCTATGCTTCTGCCTCATGCTGTTGTTGAAAAGCCATGGGAATCTGCTCTTTGTATTTGCATTTGATTTAAGGTTACTTAGGTTTTGGAGATCTATTGGGGATCCTAATCTAGGAACCACAATGGGTCTAAAACCTGATACTTTGGGTTTTATCAAACGTAATGCTTTTTGTCTCCATGTGAGTTGGGGTTAGGTTTCACAGCAAGCAGTAGGAAAGCCCACAAGCTGTGATTGAAACTAGATGGAATATGTTTCTCCCCATGTCAGGAACCCAGGCTACTTCTGTCTTTTTGCTCTACCCTTGCTCATGGTTTTTAGGCCAAGGCTGTATCCCAAACAGTTAGAACAGTGCCTGGCACATATAGATGCTGAATAATTATTTGTTGAATGAATCCTTGTCCTATGGCTGCTGAAGCTTCACCACTTAAATCTGTACTCCAGCCAGCAGGAAGTAGGACAGGGACATATAGGGCAGGCCCTTCCCCTTCAGTACATCATTTCTGTTCAGCTGACCACATTAAGATAGGCTTTGCTTGAGTGCCCATGTTCCTGGCTGAAAAGCAGGGGCTCTGTGGACATGGAGGAAGAGAACCCAGGTCATGCTGGCAGGTTCCACACAGTACAGGGTGCCCAAGTGCTGGGGAGCAGGAGAACACTTCTGCTTCTGTCTGGAATGGGCAGGGGCCGCACCCGCCAGATCATTGTCCCAGGCTGGTAGGCTTTGCCCACGTACCCATGGGCATCAGGCTCTACTAAGCACAAGACACAAGCCTATCTTTAAGAGGTAAATTGTTATATTTTCAAGTGGTCTGACCAATAGTTTTCTTTAACCTCCAGATACATTTTAGGGGAAATGCCTCTAAATGTGCAGGGCGGTCCAGCCATTCATCTGAATAGAGTTTAGTACATGCACTGTTTTCCTTGTTTCCTGGCCTTCTGGAAGCCCTGCAGATCTTCCACCGTGGGTCTTCTAAGCCTGGTGGTGTTTTCTTCTCAAACTGGTCCACAGCTAGTGCCAGAAATATGAACTGCTTGGGCCTAAGTTTTAGAAATCGCCTTGTTATGATTTAGACTGGTATGAATGAATAACATCTAAGTATAGTCAAATTCCTTCTAAAGGATCTTCATTTAGGCTATTTCATAAACATAGAACAATGAAATTTTACCATTAGGGAACTTCAGAAATTATTTGTGTCACTATTAATTATCTTCAAAGGGATTTCTACATGGGACCCTTTAGAAATAATGATCAGGCATTAGTGCCTTTATCTTAGTGCCCAAGAAACTTCCTTCATTTCTTAACAGATCATTTTGAAAGGATTCTGAGTTTTGGAGCCAACCAGCACAACCTTTTCTCCCTCCGCCCCCTAGTGGCTTTGCTGCCTCTTGAGGCTGCTAAACGCCTGAACTCTCCCACTGGAAGGGTGTTTTCTTCCTTATGAATCAGAAGAAAGGACCTCTGTTGCTCACTTATTTTCTGTTTTAGATTAGAAAATATAGTTTATTTAAAAACTAAATTAGAATGAGAGAGAGAGGAAAAGAGGAGATTAACCTTCCCAAGGTAGGGGAGGGGGCCAAAACTTAAGGAAGCATGACCTGGCTATAGCTCAACGAGCACATGGCCACACCAGAGTCTAGTAAGGCAATGACTGTTGCTCACTTATTAAAGAAAAACATTGGTCTGTGTAACTTCTAAGTTCCTTTTCATTTCAAAACAAAAAATTTGAGAACCATTAAGGAAACTTAAGTTGCCTTAATTGGCATTTTTACATTTCGTTATACCTTGATTTATTTTGACACTCTATTATCTGAGAGTCTGGAGTGTTGAGATTAAACTGATTAACCCATTGTTTTATTTAAATAATTTGCCTTATTTCCTCTTGGTAGTTTTTTTTGTAAAGATAGTAAGTATCCTTGTTATAGTAACGTTAGGTTTAATTTCTAGCTGTTGATTCAGTAATTGCTCTAATTGAATTTTTTTCCTCCCAGCATTCAAAAGTCTATGAGAATGGTACAAACAGATTTAAAGTCCAGAAGCAAATCTTAAAGAACGAAAAGAACAGGCCTCTGGTAAGTTACATACAACTTCCACTCACTAGAATGTCAGAGCTGCAGGGAAAGTCCTGCAAACCACACAGGCCATCTGTCCCCCTTTCCCGTGACAAGGGTCACAAACTTCCAGGGTCTTTTAAAAAAAAATGAGTCTTGTTAGTGTTTCTACAGTAAAATTTATGTTTGCCCTATTTGCTGTCTTTGGGTAGAAACTAAACTTATTGTATGTTTTTAAGTCAAATTTGAGAGTAATTCATTCATTCAACAACTATTTGCTTTCAGCGTCCCAGGCACTGTCCTAGGTTGGGGTGGGGAGGAAGAGGTGCAGGCAAAAAGTGAACAAAGACAGTTGTCAGGTAGTGCCAATTACCAGGGAGACATGCTGAATGGGCACTATGTCCAGCCTGGCCTTGGGACGTTCCCTAAGCAGAGCTATGAAGGCAGGGAGAGAGAGTTGGAGCAGAGCTGTGAAGGCAGGGAGAGTTTCCAGGGATCTGGGTGCGAGGTGGAAGGACTACTTGAGGTGCACCCAGAATTCATGGGATCAAGAGAAGGTGAGGAAGAAGCAAGTAACATAAAGAGTCATATTCTTACCCTCCCTCATTTTACAGATGAGGAAATTGAAGCACAGAGAAGCTAAGTTGCCTGCCTTGTCATCCAAGCTGGTGGGGAGGCCACAGTGGAGGCCCAGCATCTCCCACCAGTGTCCCCTCTTCCTTTCCATTCGTGGTACTGCTAGAAGTTTTTATCATCCCTTATGCTTAGCTGACTACACTAAACCACAAGGGACATTTTGGATTTGGTTTTATCATAAAAATTATGAGCTATTTTCTTTTAAAATCAGATAGCTTAAGGATGAAAGTACTAAACATGCTTCTTACTTTTTTCTTTATTGCCTGGGGAAATTTACTTGTGGTGGTTGAAATATTAGAAGAGGGAATAATGATGTTTCATGCATCTGGGTTCTGGGATTTTAGGGAGATTGTAAGCAGTGATTAATTCAACCAAAATGCTTCAAAATCACTTCTGAGTATATGGTTTTAAAAGATCATGTCTTACTCACTATCCAAATGACTGTGACTCCTCTTTGATGAGATTGAATGCTTGCCTCTTCCTCTGAGTTAAGACTACAGGCCCTTTGTTCCGGCATAGCTACTGACCTGTAAAACTAGCCCTGGCTTCTGAGTGTAGCTTCTCTCTTTTCTTTTCTGTCCTTCTACGAAAGCCTATCTATTAACTTGCTGTTAAAGAGCCAGTTACATACTAGAGGAGGCAACATTTCTCGTTTCAGTCTGACTGTGACGTCTCAGACACCCATGACCAGATGTGTGCTGGCCTTGTTTGCATGGTATTCCCTTTAAGCAGGCCCCTGCCCTTGCCCTTGCTCTTGGGTCAAGGTCAGCAGGCAGAGTGTCCCGCAGGTTTGGCTGGACACCCTGTCTATCCCCTTTCCCAGAGTGACCACTGGACTCAGAGTGGGGTGTCACCCAGTCCCTGACCTCTACTGCTGAGAGACTGTTATGTGCTAGGCATAATTCTTAATGGTTTGGCAAAGTGTGTAAAGAATGCGTGAAAGAAGCAAATGTGGGAAAGGGGAGGTGGCACTGGTATCACTTGGCCGTGTGGCAAACCCTCTTGAATTCCTCATAGGGGTTTTAGACAACTGTCTGGGGATGATCACACTTGCTACCCCTGTGTCACTTGACCTTCTTGGCTTCTCTGAGGCTCTTTCTGATTGTGGCTTAAGACCTGTTGGGCTCACTAAATTCTGAATGAGCACCGTGGATATTTTGACACTGCATATTATGCACCTTGACCTTGCAAAGTCCATCTGGGATGGACTTTCCTGAAGTGTAGCTGCAGACAGCTCAGTAGAAGGATGAGATAGAGCAGTCATTATTACATACTCCCTGATGCCTCTGTATGTGTGTACGGTTATGTGTGTGTATGTTAGCAGAAGGGAGCCCTGTTGTTCTTTAAAAAGTAGGCTGTAAGAGTGGGGCACCCTGGCTGCTTTGCTAAGCAGAGGGTTGGGTCTGTGTCTTTAAGTCAGCCCAGCAGATGGGTCCCCAGAGCACTTGACAGATCCTGGAAGGGCCATAAGTGGCTCCAAAGCATCTGGTCTGATCCGTGGCCAGGTTGGTTTTCCATAGTTGACCTTGAATCCCTGCTCTCTAGGTGAGAGGACGCTCCTCTTCTGGCTAAGCAGATTCTTTCCCCTTCTTTTTTTACCTTTATTTGCCTGCATGTCATCCACTGCTTAGCCTGCCTTGTGTGATAGTCTATAAGTCCTGCAGTTCTCGATACATGTGGGACTTGTCTGGGGCTGCCCTGGAGACCTGCAACTGGGCTAGGGAGCTTTGAGAAACCTCAGAGCCCCCACCCCGAGGAGATTCTAGCATTTAGCCAAAGTTGAAACTTACTGAGTCAGTCTCCTAACTGGAAAACTGGCATAATTCACGAGAGAAAAGTTTCTTCCCAAACTCAAATCATAGTTCTTTGTTTTCATATACCTTTATGGAATTGCCACTGGAAAAATGTTTTACATTTATACTTGGGGTTTTCCATCTTCACTCCAAAACATAGATATGAATGTGAATATGGTCATCAAAGACTAGCTCTTAATGCCAAAGTCCTGATCAGGAAACTGGGCTTCTGGGTACATAGATCCTGGGCTGCTCTCAAGGTCACATGCTGGATGCTTAGCCCCCATGTTGAATTGCATTTGGTACAACCTGCCACCCAGTTTTCCAAATTTCTGTTTTTCACTGGAAGAGAATTGTAAATAGCATAGTGGAGGGGCTGGGATACATTACATTTTCTTTATCTTTTTTTAAATTTAACTGCATCTTGAGTCCAATTTACATAGGTTATAGCAAGGTAGATACAATAAGATCTGTTTGATTTTGTGGAAGGTGTGAAATACATAGAAGCATTTCTTTTTAAGTCCTTGAACTTTGTAGTTTGTTCATGAAAAATATTTTTAGGTTATCCTTGCTCTGACTTGACACCCCACCTGGACTGGGGATCATTCTTCTATGCTTTATTGAATGAAAACTGTGTCCCTTGGGAATGTCCAGAATGTCAGAATTTACAGATATCAGAATTGGTTTATGAATTTTAAAATGTTGTTTCTGGTAATGTATATCTATTGTGAACTCCTAAAACACACAGGATCGTATAAAGAATTTCTTATTGCCATTGCCATAAAAATTACATTTAATTTCACCACTCAGTGATAATCATTGTCGGTTTTGATTTTAGCTTCTTTCTTTCTAGAAATAGATCCTATAGTCACCTAGTTATATAGGTAGACATTTAAACATTTTTTGAGATTATAATGGTGTGTTATTTAACATCATAAGCTTTTCCTGTCATTAAAATCTCCCAAACTTTTTTTTTGTAATTGCAAGATATGTATATGGGTGTACTTTAATTTAACAGTTTTTCTCAATGGTGATATGACATGCATTCTATAGTACAAATATTTTTTTCATTTTTCAAATTATTTTTTGCAAGTAGATTCCTAAAATTTCTGGATCAGAGAATTGTGTATGTTGACAGCATTTCATAAAAATACATGAACACTCGTGATTATAAAGCAGTAACTCCAGTGAGAATGTTATCCAAGATGTTCCCAAGACAGAATCACCAGGAGACCCAGTCATTAGGAATTCTGGCTTTGTTTCAACCAGACAGGACCAGCTTGTAACCTTTTTTTTTTTCCCCTATGCGATTGTCTCCAGGACCCAGAGATGCAGTGCTTACTGCTGTCGGATGGGAAGAGTTCCATCCACCCAAACCACACCGTCGTTCTCCCAGGGGAAAGCGGGAGTAGCATGGCTGCCATCAGCTTCACAGGGGCCTTGAGAATTCCTGTAAGTAAAAGTGTCTGGGAGTAGTTTCAGAAAGGGCTATTGTGCTGACTTTGAAAGTTTGGCCTGTTGATAATCAGACTTAAGAGAAGAAATCTGTGATTATAGAATCTATGAATTTGAAGCCTCAGGGCTGAGTGTGGCTGTAGTGATGGTTTGTTTGCCTCATACTATGTTTAATTTATTTTTGAAATTAGTTTTTTCCATTTAGAAATTCAGAAAGTTCATGGACAAATGAGGCTTCTTGTCTTCACTTGAAAAATAGAAGGTGTAGCTACACTGGGCCTACCCCCATGTGAGAGTGGTTGGTGGCAGGAGCTAAGGCTATGACCCCTGTGCCCCTGAGGCCCAGGCCCTCCCGGTGCACTTGCCCTCTGCAGACCTTGAATGTGAGCCTTTGGGAGGCACCATCACCCAGTGCAGCTCTGTGGCCTTAGGCAAGCCTGCCTCGATCTTCTCTCTCCTTAAGGTGCCTTTAGGGCCATAGACCACAGTCAGCTTGCCTCATGTGGGAGCAGGGAACACCAGGAGTGAAGGGGAAGGTACAGAAAGCAAGGGAAAGCCAAGCAGCTCCCGTGACAGAAGGGTCCTCAGAACCTAGACTTGAGCTTTGTTTAAAAAGCTACCAAACTGGTCCTTGGTGGGGCAGCTGGCCCTGCATCTAGACCAGAAAGGCAGCACACGAGGGAGAGGAGTGCAGTGGTGAGATTTCTTGCTACTTTTGGCTTTCCTTGTTTGTATTCACGGGCCTTCTCAGCAGAGAATCTAAGGAGCTGTGTCCAGGACGTATAAAAGCTATGTTCTTTCCATGTGGTAAACTGCAGAGGTCAACCAAGGCATGGAGCCAAGAACAGGAGCAGGTTGGGGAGAACAGACCCTGATATGTGGGCTGGATGGGCTCTCCAGGCTGTGCTGCCAGGCTGTGCCCTCGGACACCAACAGCCAGGGAACCAGAGGGGTGGACGTAACCAGAGAGAAAGGCAGAAGATGGTGGCACAGGTCATCCAAGGCCCCTCAGCAGGTTGGGACTAGAGCATAACCAGTACAACCCAGACCTTAGATTAATGTCATAAAAAGTAAAGGACTGAGGAGAACTTCTGCTTTAAAACAGAAAGTATTTCCAGGATCCAGAAGAAACTGGATCTGCAGAAGTGACCCTGGAGCCTGAGTCCAGCCAGGGGAGAATGTTGGAGCCCAGGCATAGGTCCAGGCCTCTGGGAAAGGGCTCTGCCAGCTGCCTATGGAAGCCATGGTCTTCAGTGCAAAGTTATCTTTAACATTGTGTGTGCTTTTAATAACAACTAGCAACCTCTCTGCTGTTCTTCACTCTCTAGCTGCTCCAAATACTTGTACTATAAGTAGGTGCACACTAGTTATGTATATACAAGTTTCACAGTGGAATTGTGGACAGTCTGGGCTTTGGAGGCCTAGCTTGCCCTGACTCGACCCATACCAGTGCTGAGCTTGGTGTTCCAGCATGTGTGGAACTACTCTGATCCTCTGTGTCCTCACTGTAATACCGGCTCCATGCCCAGTGTAATACCGTTGTTCTGAGGACAAAGTGAGATAATTTAGCAATGGTAATAGCACAATGCCAGGCTCTTGGTAAGCATGCAGCAAATTATCCATCACAATCTCATACTGATGTATACCAATTATGAAGACACAAACTCTTTTAGCTCTGAAATGACTTAGGGAAATTGAACATTGTATTCTTTGCCCAGTTTTGGTGAGTGTTCATGTGTACTGACAGCATAGGGAATGGGAGAGGAAGAATTCAGGACCTTCATGTCACATTTCCAAATAGTGTCTGGAATTACTGTCCTACAAGTGCAACCACCTGTTTCTAAATTAGGCATAAAAGGAAACACAAACAGGCATTTCACAGAACCCAGCAAACCTGATTTCCTCATGAATACATCCATGTCTCTTTCATTGTTTTCCCCAACACCTACTGGTTTGTATTATTCACAGGCAGAGTACAGTCATCTGTGTGTCTGACAGAATGGTCAGAATCGCTTGTCACTTTATAATTTCCAATGATTCCAGTTCCAGGGAAAAACAAATAGTCATTAAATATTCAGTTAGTAGATGTCTCTCTGTCATGCCCATGCTCTGTGAGAACTCATTTAATAGCTAACTTTTCCACATGATGTAGTATGAAATCAAACCAGTACATGTTTGCCTCTAATCTGACGTAAAGACATTGTGTTTCAGTCTTAAAAGGTAGTCTCCATTTAGAAATTCAGAAATGTCAGCTTTGGTCCCCTCTCCTACCTTGGGGAGGTTAATCTTCTCTTTCTCTTTCTCTCTAATCTGCTTTTAAATAAACTATATTTTCTAATCTAAAAAAAAAGAAATTCAGAAATTTCGTAGACAAATGGAACTTCCTGTCTTCACTTGAAAAGCAGGAAATCTGGACGCACTGGACCTGCCCCATGGGACAGTGGTCAAGCAGAGGCCATGACCCCCAACCCTCTTAGTGGTCCCAGTGCCTCTCTGGAGCACTCAGAGTCTCTGTTGGTCAGCTCCTCATTATTCCCCATTCCTACTGTACAGTGCAGCAATACGGTATCCTTTCCCTGTATGTAGCTGGGAGTGCTAAAACGAGACCAGAATCACAGGCTGTTTTTATGGGAATGATCCATTTCTAATGCTGTTGCATATGTACATACACCTGCTGAGTACGCCCTGTCCCTTCCAGGGCGTTGTGGAGTTCTCGTTGTGCTTGCTGTTTGCCAAGCTGGTCAGCTACACTTTCCTCTTCTGGCTTCCACTATATATCACAAACGTGGGTGAGTATCTTGTTAAAAGTGTGTTCAGTTCTGTGCAGTGACTGCAATCTGAACTCTTCTGTCTGCTGGTTTCCATCGGCTTGGAAACACAAGGCCACCCAATATGATTAAACAGAGACAAAAGATAATTCAGATATGCATGTTTTTATTACCATACTAATAGCCTTTATGGGGTTTAAAGGTTGAGACATTCTGCCCCAACTCTGGATGCAATTCCATGCAGTACTTCCTGTTCTTGAGCAGCCTGTGTCTAAATGTGGTCTATGCTGGACTTTGGCTCATAACAGCCAGTGAGCAGGGACAGGGCCTCTGGGAACCTGAGATAATAAGCACTAACCAGTCTGACCTGGAAATGGCCTATGGGAGATGCGTTCTAATTTTAGGGAGGGCTGACTGTTTGTCTTACATTTCAGAAGTCCCACAGTGGCTGCAACTATAGATTATGACAGAACATGCCAGTAAAAGGGTCCCATGCATTCCCCATAGTATATGTGACACAAGAAAGGCAAGAGGAACAGTTCTTACAGGAAGCGGGTAGTATGTGGAAGAGCTAGAAACCTCACTGAAACAGGGTGAAGATGGGCCAGGAGCAGAGGGAGTTAGAGCTAGGGGACAAAAAGATGCTAGGGTGGTCAGGGAGGTGCAGGCTCTGGCAATGTGACCAGGAGGAGGACTTTGAGAAGGTAGGGGGTTTGAAGAGCACAGACCACATCTTCTAAGTGGGATTACAAGGCAAGTGGAGGTGGACAGGAGCTCAAGGCCAGAAGGACACTGGACACCTGGGAGGGAAGTTGAGGAGGCAGTGAGGGGACTGTCCCACCGGGAACAGGGATAGGACCTGTGGGAGGGATGGTGGGCAGGTAGGCAGCCTTCCCTGTCTCGTGACTCCCATCTCATTTCAGCAGGTGAGCTGAACATGGTCTGGGCAGCATGGGCTCGGGTGGACAGGCAGGGTACCTTCTTTCTCTCTTTATTCTCCTATGATTGCAAAAGGGGTGGCATTTTCAGGACTCGAGTCTCAAATTGCTGCCATTTCCAGTCTGTTTGAAAAAGGCAAAAGCTCCCTGTAGGAGCCGTTCAGAATTAAGCGGGTCTGAGCTTGATCCTAAATGCATCCCAGATCTCACTTCTCACGCACAGAACCTTCAGTTCACCTTAAAGTTCAAAGCCTACACAAAATCTAGCAGAGAGAATCCTGAACTGGGTATTCTGAGGTCTTGGCTTCTTCATCTGTAGTACAGAGAAGGTTCCAGTCCCTTCCAGGTCTAACATAGTCAGTGGTCTTTTTTTTTTTTTTTTTTTTTGAGTTGGAGTCTCACTCTGTCGCCCAGACTGGAGTGCAGTGGTCGCTCCCGGCCACCGCAGCCTCAACCTGCTGGGCTCCAGCAATCCTTCCGCCTCAGCCTTCCGCGTAGCCAGAATTACAAGCATGCGCTACCATACCCGGCTGACTTTTTGATTTATTGTAGAGATGAGGTCTCGCCAAGTTGCCCAGGCGGGTCTCGAACCCGTGGGCTCAGGCAATCCACTCATCTCAGCCTCCCAAAGCACGGGATTACAGGCTAAGCCACCAAGCCCGGCTATCAGTGGTCTTTTTGACAGGACACACTTGTGGAACCAAGGCGCTGGACACTCTCTATCCAGGCGATTCTTGCAGCCCTCGCTGTCATCTGTTGATCTAACCTCCGTGGCTGCCCTGTAGCCACTGGATTATGATGCGACCAGCAGAGGAGATCTCTGGGCTTTGATTAGGAGTGTTTTCAGCCTTTCTGTGTTGCTTTAAAAAAAAAAAACTGATTTAACAAATAGTTGCAAGCTGGGCTCGGTGGCTCAGCCTGTAATCCCGTGCCTTTGGGAGGCTGAGG